AAAAATGGCCAATTTTTATGCAAAACATCTGAAAAGGAAGCAAAAAGCTCCCTCTATAGAACTGCTAAGAAGACTGCCGCTGGATTTCAAAATACAAAAATGCTTTTAACATTTTTTCTGCTCCATACTATTTTGTCTGGATTTCAAATCAAAATATAGATATTACATCAGACTTTGTAAATGTAATTTAAAGGCAAGATTTCATTTCTTCCAAGGAAAGGAACTATCACAAACTTTGGATAACTTGAACTATTCTACTATACAAATAAAGCTTAGCCCCAATACTTAAGTCAGTAGGAGACAATAAAACTAGTATTATTTATACATCGACATGGACGTGCATGGCATTTACAGACAAAAATAAATTATATGTCCCTGCTCCTAAGACCTTACAACTTAAATTAACTTTTTATACATTCATCCAGATACAAAATTAACTATTTTGCTCACTATTTATTATTGCTACATATATCTTGAAATGCAATGGCTTGTCATATAAATGCAACTGCTGTATATTAGGGATGTTAGGAAGTGTGTAATTTAGTAATCGTGTAGCTACTAAAATTTTTGTTGGGTACACGTTTAACTGATAAGCACTCTGCATTTAGAAGCGCTCGAGAGCCAGCGCGCAAGCACACTGGCTCGCGCCAGGTCCAACAGTGCCTCTGCTTCAAAGCCACACCGGTGCAGGGAATTGCATATTGCCAATAGAGTTAACTGATAAGCCACTTATCGGCTAATCGTTTAGTCAGCTATTGTATACACCTCAATAATTCTGCTAAAACTTTTATAAATTCTGAAAGCAATATTCAAAAGCTTTGCTTTTCGTATTACACAGATATCAGGAAGTGCTAAATATAAAGCGCAGACCAAATCTCAACTCTAATGTTACTAGATTTACTATATTTACCTGATATGAACTAAAACTTTTGAATGCTTGATTTTCAACCTGAATATTCTTTTAACATAGTTGTATGCATTTATTAAAATTATGCAACTAGACATATACATATTATGGTTCATCAGTTTTATCACTAAAGAGGTTTACAAAAAAATAAACATTAACCTAAATGCCTTTAGACTACCACTTAAGAACATTTTAGAGACTGTCATTTACTGAGAAGCAGAACACATCAGCCATTAATCTTGATTTTTCAAAGCTCTTGCTATCTACTGTTTTGTAATATGAACAGACATGAACAGAAGCTGCACTACCAATTCATGTTGTGATCTTTCAATACTAGTCAAGCAATGTACCGCTGAAACTGGTCAATATTTGGGTGGGATACCTTTAAAGAAAAGAAACTTTATGAACTAATGCATCAACATTGTCATTTTCAGAAACATAAAACCAAGATTTCTTACCATTTGTAGTCATTTAAAAAACTCACACGGCACTTATCCTTAAGATTAACCCTGATACTCCCCTGCAGCTTCAACTGGATGTTCTTTATTGTTTACTCTGAACAGTTAGACATACCGTATAAAAACAGTAACACATTGTATATCTTAATAAATGCATAAACCATGTTAAAAGAAAACACAGGCTGAAAAGTCAAACTTTCAAAAGCCAGAATTAAAGTTGCTCATATAATCTTAATTTGAATACACACTATAATACAATCAAACTACATAATCATGCTTATTTTTGTTCTTGACAGAACTACTGCCACATTCAATGCCCATGAAAGGATGGAGCTCACTGAATAAGTAGTTAGTACATTTTTTCAACCTCATCAATGTGTTTGTGCATTATACACATCACATCATACAAACATGCACTACATACAGAATTACTGATTTCTTCCTGGTATTTCTACTGTGCTCTCATTCTGGTATCCAAGTGTTAATAAGTTTGTCTTCACAGTACTCAGATGAGATAAGGGAGCACTATCACCAGCCTGAGAAGTGACACACAGAGATTAAGCCCAATAATGTCATACATGCCCTTTAATTTTGGTTGCCCAGTTTCAGACACCAATGTCCTAAGCATCTGCATATTTACAGAATGTTTCTTGAGTCAAAGCACACATACTACTGACTTTGGTTTCAGCTGCAAAACCCTTCAGAAAACCAAGCCAAAAGTGTCAATTTGGGCATCCAGAAAGTAAGGGACAGATAACTAGTATTCAACTGTACAGTTTGGTTTAAGTGGCTTTCCCCAACATCACATAGGAACTCTGTGGCAAAGAATCCAATTTTCTAGGTTGGCATACAGCTCTTTTAACTATGAGATAAGATTTCTCTTCCTGCAGTCCTTGTCTCGTTCACTATAAAAACTTCTAAATTCTAGAACAAATGAGGTACAGACCACAGTCTGTCTCACAAAACAATCCTGATGGATTCACTGATCACCATCCATGCTGTACACTGATATGGTAGAGTTCTCTAGGGGAAAAAAGTAAATTATGTTATTAAACACTGTCACCATGCATAAATCCAAGAAAGATGAATTATGAATGTTCAAGCAACTTTAATTCTGCCATTTCCTAACTTCTAGCTGCACATTATTTTAACAAAAAATTACACTTTCGAAAAAACAAAATCCATTAAGTGAAATGCTATTGACACCCATGTGAGTGACTGACAGTGTTAGAACCTTTAGATCCATAGCACAGACCCCTCTACAACTTCAGCTAACAGTATTAATAGGTAGCAAGAACAAGCTATTATCCTCTCTGAGCCATCCACTGCAGGGGGGAGGCAAGATGTTTTGCCAGTGGTTTCACGGACATTTGCTTGGGAGCAGAGGAACGTTGGGAGTCCTCACAGTCGGTGTTCCCTGTAAGCTGTGTGCTTGTGCAGCCACTCAGGAGTGCTTCAAACACTTCCCCACTGATTAGCAGAGAACCCACTTTGCTGAGTTCGGTGTTTCTTCTGGTGGTGCACATTCACATAAATTATTCTGAGTATGGATAGAATAATTCAGCACATAGATGTAAAAGATTAAAGGGAACATAGCTCCCAGTTAATGTATCAGGTGAAAAATAGTACCCACCAATCACAGGGAAAGTTCTCCTACACATTGAGTTAAAGCATGCTCAGAGATGGAATATTCTGAGACTTTTGATGTCAGCCTCTAACAAATCTCTACTAAGTGTGTATGTACAGGAATTTTCAGACTTATAAATCCACTAAATTTGGGAAGATTTTCACAGGAATGAATAAAAGCCTATGTTCTGACTCCAGAATGCAACCCCTATCAAATTTCAAGTCTGCTCCAAAGGTTGGCATTACCAGAGCTTCTCTACTAAGGTTTTTAAGAGTTTCTTTTAACACCGGCGAAAGGGCTTACTTTCTCATAGCCTCACTTTTTTGCAAATAGTTAAAATGCTTTTCCTGAAACTCTTCCAGAATTTAATCTGAGCCACATAGTCGGCATAGAAAATTTTGGCCCATACTGAGGTTAGCAAAACTACAAACAACTGAAAATAGGGTCTTTTGGCAAATATCGAACAAGCTTAAATTTAGCAGTCACTGGCAACTCCACCTGTATTATACAAACACACACAATAATTTTGAATCCAATTGAACAATTTGGAATTTCTAAGCAAAATGAGCTAGGTCAGTTACAGCTGTAACAAAATCATTTTGTTTTTCTGGTTAGATAAACCATATACTTGATTGTGATTAATACCACAGAGAAACTAGAAAATAGGCTATATGATTTCCAGGATAATTTTAAACACCGATCTAATACAGAGGATCCACAATAGAAAATTAAATAGAGGGATCTATGGAAACCTCCAAATTTCCTCTAATGAAGAGGTGCCCTTCCTTACAAGTTGAAAAAATATAAAACACCCACAAGATATTCTCTACAACAGTTCTTTGAAACACATATTGGGCAAGTAGTCTGTTCTGTGCTATAGATTTCTCCAGACCTAGAGAATATATTTGCTTCCAGATCCAAAAGACATCTATCCCCACCAAGCATAACAACTATATCTTGTATCATAGAACTTCTTTCTATGGCGTTTAAAATTCTGTTGCACAGCCCAGATTGCAACTTAGTCCTGGCAAGTAGCATGGTAAAATCTGTTATAAAGACTAAACAATTTTTCCATGTACAGTAAACTTCCAATAATCCGGCACCTTTAGGACCCAGGGGGTGCCAAATTATCAGATATGCCGGACTATAGGAAGAGGGGGCTATGAAGGGTCTGGGGTGGGGGGGATGCCACCCCAGACCCCTCATGGCCCCCCCTTCCGATAGTCCAGCTCTGCCCCAGGTGTCCCTGATTCAGCCGCTGCTGGTCAGTTTCAGCAGTGGCTGAATCGGGACGCCTGCAGCAGAGCAGATGGAGTGCTGCCAGGTTGGTCCGGTAGCGCCGACTCTTGGCGCTGCAAGACCAGCCCAGCAGCACCCCAGCTTCTCTTGGGGATGCCTGGGGCAGAGCAGCTGGGGTGCTGCCGGGTTAGTCCCGCAGCCCAGAGGGGCAGCGCTACGGGACCAACCCGGCAGCGCCCCAGCTGCTCTGCCCCCAGCTTCCCTGATTCAGCCGCTGGTCAGTTTTAGCAGCGGCTGGATCTGGAAGCAGGGGGCAGAACAGCTGGAGTGCTGCTGGGTAGGTCCAGTAGCGCTGCCCCTCAGGGCTACGAGACCAACCCGGCACACCCCAGCTGTCCCGGATTCAGCCGCTGCTGAAATTGACCAGCGGCGGACTCCCGGGTCAGTTTTAGCACGGGCTGAATCGGGGAAGCTGGGGGCAGAGCAGCTCCAATGGTCTGGCTGCCCGGAGCACTTCAGGGTTCCTGATGGTGCCAGACCATCAGAAGTGCCGGACCATCAGAGTTTTACTGTAATTATACATAAATTCAAAATAACTTTTCAAAGTTTAAATTTAAATGTCAAATTTAAAACCACATAAAATTAATGGCTTGTTTCAAAATATATAGCTCTTTATTCTTTATTATTTTGTGAATTAATTTTATAAACAAAACAACCCAAGACACAATTTGAAGGGCACAATGATTTCACATGCAAAAACATTACTTGCCTTCATATGGTGTGTCCGGAGGTCCTGCTATTTCTCCTCTTAATTCTGTAAAATTCTCATCTACAAGATCTACTTTAATTTGATTTTTGCTCGTCTTTAAAATAAACAGAGAAAAGCAGTTATGAGTAAGATATGTTTGATACAGATTCCAGAAAGATATTCAATTTTTAGAACAGATTTCTAAAAATAACCCATTACAAATATATATGTTCCAGTTAGTTTTATTTAATTTAAATTATAACTTTATGCAGCATCACAATTCTCCAAAGTAGTTTTTAAAGAGCCACTAACATGGATAAGGGTATTCAAAAACATGTAGAATATGTTAAACTACTATTAATTGTTTTAATTGACTAGATTTAGAGTTTAAATAGCTGTTTATTCTAAATACCTTAAACAAGTCAAGAAAAATAACCAGCGTCAAAAATTTTAACTTGATTGCTTTAAACGGAACACTTTCAAGTGACATTAAACATAACCAATACCTTTACTGGAATACAGCAAGATCTTGCAAAAATAATGCACTGATCTATTTTTGAAACAATATATGATATCTTAAATAGTAACATTAACAGTGGACTTGTTGAAAAGCATATTTTCACAACATCTGAAGTCTAAGGCAACGTTTTGGTGCAGGAGCTACTGGCTATGTGTCACCCCCTCCTTGACTTCATGTTTCCCAAGACAAATTTTCTTGGACCTCTTTTGTAATTTAATTTCCAAATTCTCATCATAGCATATTTAGTTACTGTCTAATGTATTTTTTATAAACAGTTCCATAAAAGAGTTTAAACCAAAATTACACATTACATTCAAAATTGTCTTTCATCCCAGAAAGGAGCAGGAATAAAATGTATAGTTGCTTTCCAAAAAAAATTTTTAAACAAACGACCCGTGGAAAAATATACACCTACATTGTTTACAGGTGAAGAGGGATGCACGTTTTGTTATTTCTATTGACTGACCTCTTTGCATACACCTTGGGCTCCAAGCATCTCTCCATAAACTGTCTGTAAGCCAACGTCCCATTTCCGTCTATTTCAGAGACTACTGCAAACTCCACCCCATCCTTTTCCCTATTCCAGAATCTCTATGCACAGTCCCGTCCTCTCACTATTTTTATTTCTTCTTTTTGGCTGGGAGACAAGTCATTCCAGATGTCAACATTTTAAAACTATATTGGGAGGATGGGTACAGTTATACTGAAAAGTATTAATGACTGCCAGTTCTTTGAGCTACAATTAGAGAGCTAATGGAAGCTGATGGATCTGCTAACCAGATGCAAGGGGCTCCAGGTGTCTATTTCCCCCTTCCTGTTTTCCACAGCTCACCAAAATTAATACTATTCTGCCCACTGATGCCTAGAATACTTCCTGATTTTTTGAGTTGATTGGATGTGAAATCCAAGTTATCATAATAAACAAACATTAGCAGGGCTTGACAAACGGCAGCGAAATCTACATGCCAGCCCCGTACTGTGCATGCACAAGACCCGCATTGCACATGCGCGCGCCGCTAGTGAATGTGGTGACCAGCTGAAATCTACTCACCATGGGCGAGTAGAAACAGCGATTTGTCGAGCCCTAAACATTAGGATAACCGATATTAAGGTATACATTTTTTAAACCAACATGCAGTTTCAAAATTAAGAAATGCAACAGATTTTATTCCTCTCTTCTGTTTACAAAAAATTATATTTACAACTTGAAATAGGTATGAATAGGAAACTAGCTGCAATGCCATACCAGAGGCTGTTTTCACTTCAAAAGGAGGTATTCAATCACTTTTGTATAGAAGAATACAATGCACTGTTCCCAAAATAACCACCATGACTACTTAGATATTTAATTGAGAATTTACAAGTTAATTTTAAATAGAGCCTATAAAATTTATCCAAAATCATTTCAGCTCAAGCTTTATTTAACACAAAATTGACAAAGAGGTAACAGTGGAACAGATCTGATAGTTGAACAGAACTGTTGAGCAGAACTTTCATAAACAAAAGTTTCTCATTCAACAGAGACTGAAGAATAATGGTTTCCTTCAAAGAAACTTGAACTAGCCTCTTTTAAACTGACTCCCAACTCCTATGATTCTGAAAAGGGATTGACACAGGCTGTCTTTAGTAAAGTTAGCTGTCACAAAACAAGAGATCGTCTCTCATTTGTTCTCTGTAGAACTGGAAACATAGGCTGCCCTTCATAAGGATGACTATAGCAAAAGTAACAACAAAGTAATTTAAGTAATATTACTCAAAAAGTAATACCAAAATGTTTTTTTAAGTACATTAGAAGCAGCAAGCCGGTTAAACAACCAGTGGGGCCGTTGGACGATCGAGATGCTAAAGGAGCATTCAATTATAATTGCAGAGAAGGTAAATGAATTTTTGCTTCAGTCTTCTCGGCTAAAGATACTGGGGAGATTCCCAAACCTGAGCCATTCTTTTTAGGTGACAAATCTGAAGAATTGTCCCAGATTGAGGTGTCAGAGGAGGTTTTGGAACAAATTGATTAACTTAACAGTAACAAGTCACCGGGACCAGATGGCATTCACCCAAGAGTTCTGAAAGAACTCAAATGGGAAATTGCGGAACTATTAACTGTGGTTTTTAATCTATCCTTTAAATCAGCTTCCGTACCTAATGACTGGAACATAGCTAACATGACGCCAATATTTAAAAAGGGCTCTAGAGGTGATCCTAGCAATTACAGACCACTAAGTCTAAAGTCAGTACCAGACAAATTAGTTGAAACTACAGTAAAGAACAAAATTGTCAGACACATAGATTAACATAATTTGTTGGGCGAAAATAAACATGGTTCTATAGTTATTCAGTGAAGCACATGGCCAGGCAAGCAGGCAGGCTTGCTGGGAAACATTTTAAGTAGAGCTGTCAATTAACGTGCGTTAACACCTGCCTGTTAACACCTGTTAATTTTTTTTAGCACGTTAATCGCAGGTGTTTCTGCAGCGCTGCCCGTTTGTAACACTACCAGGGCATTTAAAAGGGGCAGCGCAGTAGGAGCCTGGGATCAGCTGGAATCCCCAGCTGACCCCTGACTCTGGGCAGCGCTGCCCCTTTGAAACGCCGCCAGCTACCCCTTTGAAACAATTGCAGCTGATCCCAAGCTCCATGCAGTGTTGTCCGTTGGAAATGCCACCGCAGTGTTTCAAAGGGGCAGCCCAAGGCGGAGACCGGGATCAGCTGGGGACTCCAGATGATCCCAGGCTCCCACAATGCTGCCACTGCCCCTTTGAAATGCCACGGCATTCCAGCTGATCCCAAGCTTCACATAGCGCTGCTCCTTTGAAACGCAACTGCTGCATTTCAAAATGGCAATGCGAGCAGAACCCAGGATCAGCTGGAGTCCCTAGCTGATCCCCATCTCCAGCAGCGCTGCCCCTCTAAAATGCCATTGCAGTGTTTCAAAGGGGCAGCGCATGTGATTAATCACAATGACATTTTTAATCGCTTGACAATCCTAGTTTTAAGCTCTATAAGCCTTAGCTCTGTAGACAGGCAGGCTTATTTGGCTGCTGGCTGGTAAGTCTCCTGGCCACAGCCTGCTTCTGGCACCCTAGCCCTTTCCTGCCCCAACTCTCTGCCCTCCCAATATACCCAAACCCTCTGTTCCCCTCTTTCACTCATTACCCCTCCCAAATCTGGCACCCCAATCTCCTGCCTTGAATTACAATACCCTCCTACCCAGGATCACATCCCAAACCCCTGCACTCCAGTCCCCTGCCCTAGGTCACAACCACTTCCTTCACCCAAACTCCCTCCCAGACTCCAGTCTCCCTCCTGCACCCCAATACCTTACCCCAAGCTCCCATCTGCGCCCAACCTCAATCACAGACCCCGCATCTCCACCATCAATATCACAGAAGAGTGCCACTCTTGACCACTTTCCAAAAATCTTGGAGTGGCCCTCCATCAATAATTATTGCCCATCCCAATCTAGAGAAAGAGGTAAACAGTGAGGTGGCAAATTTTGCAGATGATATTAAATTGCTCAAGGTAGTTAAGACCAAAGCAGACTGTGCAGAGCTTCAAAAACATCTCACCAACCTAAGTGATTGGGCAACAAAATGGCAAAAGAAATTTAATGTTGATAAAAGTAATGCACATTGGAAAAAATAACCCCAACTATACATACAATATGATGGGGACTAATTTGGCTACAACTACTCAAGAGAGATCTTGGAGTCATTGTGGATAGTTCTCTGAAAACATCCACTCAGTGTGCAGCAGCAGTCAAAAAAGCAAACAGAATGTTAGGAATCATTAAAAAAAGGATAGAGAATAAGGCAGAGAATATTTTATTGCTTCTATATAAAACCATGATACAGCCATATCTTGAATACTGCATACAGATGTGATCCCCTTATCTCAAAAAAGATATATTAGCATTGGAAAAGGTTTGGAAAAGGGCAACAAAAATGCTCAGAGGTTTGGAACGGGTCCCATATGAAGAGAGATTAAAAAGACTTGGACTTTTCATCTTACAAAAGAGAAGATTAAGGGGGGGATATGATAGAGGTCTATAAAATCATGACTGGTGTGGAAAAAGTGAATAAGGAAAAGTTATTTACTTATTCACACAATATAAGAACTAGGGGTCACCAAATGAAATTAATAGGCAGCAAATTTAAAACAAACAAAAGTTATTTTTTCTTTACTCAGTGCACAGGCAACCTCCGGAACGCCTTGCCAGAGGATGTGGTGAAGACTAGGACTTAAACAGGCTTTCAAAAAAGAGCTAGATAGATTCATGGAGGTTAGATCCATCAATGGCTATTAGCCAGGATGAGTAGGAATGGTGTCCTTTGCCTCTGTCTGGAAATGGTTGACAGGGAAGGAATCACGTGGGAATTACCTGTTGTGATCCCTCCCTCTGGTGCATCTGGTATTAGCCACTATTGGCAGACAGGATACTGGGCTAGATGGACCGTTGGTCTGACCCCGTATGGCCATTCTTAAATTCTTAATCCATTTATTTGATTCTCTGTATTTTGACAACCTAAGGGGCCACCATCTTCCATAAGGACCATGCAGGTAAATTTCCAGAGAAAAACTGCTTAGTTCTAGACTAA